TTATCATTTGATCTCAGGGAACTCTTTTTCATGGATCAAAACTGGTTGTGTTCTGGTTTATGGATTAGATCTCTAGCACAGAATCACCAGGATCCTGCAGAAAGAAAAGCAAATTGGTCATTTTACTTGGGGATCTGGCAAGTTAGTTGATATTATCTCCATTCATTGAGAGTAATGACAAATTCCAATTTGGAAAAGCTATTGTTAAAACTGATGTAACATTTGGGTACTAGAAACATTGGAACCAAAAGTCACTTATGCAATTGCCCCCACCTTTTCTAAACTGATTCTTCAAGGTAAATGTTGGTATAAAATCTGTGACTGACAGATTCTACTTTCCTTGTTTGGAATTTGAAGGGCTTTTTTCTTAGATCTAATTTCATAACCTTCAAAGAAGTCATGATATAAGTATATATTCTCTCTGATTTGTAGCTAAGTAAATATAGTGATTGTTTTGACCCACTCTCACTCATCTCTTCCCAGTTACCAATAAAACCTGCTCGTTTCCCTAAATCATAATCATCATCTTGAAGAACAAGAGTAGAGAAGAAAGGAAAATATGGCTAAATGTAAGAGTTATGGTGATTAGAAGTTTGTATGGTTTAAATGTAATTTAAGAAAATAATTTACAGCCCTAGCTGACTGAAGGGTCCCAGGTTCGATTACAGCCCTGGCCAGTTTTGCTCAGTGGATAGTGTCGCTCTGCAGACTGAAGGGTCCCAGGTTAGATTCCTACCAAGGGCACATGCCTGGTTTGCAGGCTCGATCCCAAGTAGGTAGCGTGCAATGATTCTCTCTCATCATTGATGTTTCTATCTCTCTCTATCCCTCTCCCTTCCTCTCTAAAATCAATAAAAAAAAAGTTTTTTTAAGAAAATAATTTACCTTAAAATAACAGACTAAATTAAAGAGTACAGAATTGATTTTGAGATGCTGGGATGGAACTTGTTTCAAAATAAAGCAACTTAAAGAGGTTCCCACTACATCTTCAACCAATTTGTCTCCTAAGTACAACTATAAGGGGGGGACACATCTGGTAGATAAAAGGACAAGCTGTGCAGATCAATAAGTCATCTTCACATCCGGAATATTAGTGCTTTGCGACTTGCGATTTTATGCAGACTCTGAGGCTGTGGAGATAAGAGACAACAGACTTGAGGCTACTGTGAAGTAAGCAAATTGAATGCATTAAAAACAGTTCTGGAAAGGGGTTATACTATCATGAGTGGAGACATTATCCATGTTCACAGTTTCTTTGTAAGAGAAAGAAAATGCACACTTTGCAGAGAAAATGATTTGTGATGGAAAAAAAAAGCAGCAGCTCCTGCAATTATCAGGATCTAATCCTAAAAGTATGCTTACATTATCTCATATTACATTATCTCGTATGCAAATGCAGAAGAGGTGGCTCAGAGCTTGTGGTCTCCCCAAGGTCATTAAACTAGTAAACAGCAGCTTGACTCTAAAACCAGGTAAAAATAGGGCCCCTAAAAGCCACGTAATCTCTTCTTAAGATTCTGCAACTGAGATTTCCTTCATGTCAGCCTGCTCTTATTTTTTCCTGAGTGTTGTGAATAACAGCAAGAATGTTGTTTATATATTCAGATTTCTATTTAAGACTGGTTTCTTGACTATTGTAGGCATCTTACTATGTATATATTTTCAGAAAGAAGTGAAACTCATTGAAATGTTTTCTGCTTTCATCAGCAGTACATCTTTCAGGGGTGGGCAAACTTTTTGACTCGAGGGCCACAATGGGTTCTTAAACTGGACCGGAGAGCCGGAACAAAAGCATGGATGGAGTGTTTGTGTGACTAATATAAATTCAAAGTAAACATCATTACATAAAAGGGTACGGTCTTTTTTTTTTTTTTTTTAGTTTTATTCATTTCAAAGGGGCCGGATCCGGCCCGCGGGCCAGACCGTAGTTTGCCCAGGGCTGTAACTTTATTGGATGAATATGGTAAACTCATGAATTGTTCACGGAAGAAAAAAAAAAGACTCAGGCTGTCTTCTCTCCACATATACCTTTTTTAAAAAACCTAAGTTCCATAATGCTGGTACTTCCTCTTCCCTTGTTTATCCTAAGTTCTCAGTCTTTCCATATATTAGTATCGTACCCAAAGTACTGTAACTTTTTTCTTTTTTCTTTGTTGTTATTCCTCAACCGAGGATATTTTCTTAATTGATTTTTAGAGGGAAAAGGAGGGGGAAAGACAGAGAAACTCCGACGTGAAAGAGACACGTTGGCTATCCTTGGTTGCCTCCCGCATGCGCCTGGGATGGAGAATCAAACCCGGATCCTTCAGCCTGTGGACCGACGCTATATCCGCTGTGCCAAACCGGCTAGGGCTACTGTAATATTTTAAGGAAACGTCCTGTGCAAAAAGACCCTTTTAGAATGGTGGATGTCTCCCCTCCGCCAAATTTGTTTTTTCTTAAGCACCGAACAGATCCAAGGATCCTCTGAGCCTGCCTTCGCTGAACTTCGTTTTCAGCAGGCGCGTTGCCCTGGTGGGGAAATCTCACCCGGCCCCAGTTTGGAAGTGGCTGGGGTGGGAGAGGTGCTGGAGCTGGCACCTCCTGCTGGGTCAGAACTGGGTCCCCGGGTCGGATCCGAGGCGCTCTTCCCAGAGCGCGCGCGCCC